GCCCTGCGTGGGCCTTAGGGTCCCCACCGCCGGCGCGGGGCTCTCTGGGGCCGGGACGCGCCGTTCGGCCGCCTGGCCGGCCGTACGCGGAAGACCCCGAGCCCGCGAAGAGAAAACACTGCGAGCCGGAGGCCCCGACTGGGGCCCAGTGGGCGTGGACTTCGGGCCACGTGAAGGCCTCAGGAGCCCTGAGACTCCGGGGAAGGCCGGGCCGGGTCAGCCTCGGTGGAGCCCGGCGGCCTTGCCCGGGGTGGGCATCTTTTGCACCCTGGGGCGCGAGGGCCTGTTAGGGCGAGGGCAGGTCGTGCAGCTCTCAAATGGCAATTTTTTCCCCACCACGTTAGGCCTGTTGTAAATCCTGGAAGCTTTACCTAGTACTAGTATTTTTTTCTTGCTGTGTCCAGAACGGTGTTTTTCTATTTTAAGGTGCTGGAGTTAGAATCTGAGTTGGTTTTGTTTTGCTTTTGCTTTCTCTATTTAGGTTTCAGAGATTGCAGGTTAGAGTTGGCTTTACTCTTAAATAATTCTTAAAGGCACATCTCTTCCCCAAGCAGCTACTATCAGAGATTGTCTGCGTCTTTGGATTTTATGGCCCCCCAACTTTATCTTTCAGGAAAGCATCAAATAAAACCTAGTCACTTCAGCCAATTCAGTTTCGAAGCTAGAGTTTCCCATACAAAAAACAAGCAAAAATCAGCAAGCCTAGGAAACTATAAAAATCTTCTCGCTGTTTGAGGCGATTAAATGTTTTAAGTTTCATTTCCTTGTGATAAAGAATTCACTCAGTTGCTTAGTTAAAAGGACCATTAATACTTTAAATAGCCAGGGTGGGTGGGGTGGTATACACCTTTAATTCCATCACTTGAAAGAAAGTTCTAGGCTAGCCTGGTCTACATTGGAAGTTCCTGGGCTACATAGACCTTTTCTCAAACAACAAAAGACACTTTTAAAATATTCTGTAGTATTTTACCTTTTCTTTCTTTTTTTTTTGTTTTTTGAGACAGGGTTTCTCTGTAGTTTTGGTGCCTGTCCTGGATCTTGCTCTGTAGATCAGGTTGGCCTCAAACTGCCTGGTTCTGTCTCCCTAGTACTGAGATTAAAGGTGTGTGCTGCCACCACCACCCGGCTCCTTTTTTTTTTTTTTTTTCTTTTAAATTATTAAAAATTTGGTTTGTTTTTCGATACAGGGTTTCTCTGTAGCCCTGGCTGTCCTCTGTAACTCAATCTGTAGACTAGGCTGACCTCGAACTCCATCATCTGCTTTTGCTGGGATTAAAGTCTTGCTACATCACTGCCCAGTGTAGACCAGACTGGCCTCAAATTCAGCCATGCAGTCAAGGCTGTTTTTGAATTCCTGGTCTTGCTGACCCCTCCCACCCCCCAAATAATGGGGTCATAAGAAAGTCACAGTGTTCCCCACTTATATCCAGATTTTTTTTAAAAAATTAAAATTCCTGAAATCTGGCACATAGGTGGCTTCTACCTCTAAGTTGATGGTTCTTACCTGAACTTCTTCCAAGTTCCCTGTGTGGTCTTTGAGTTCTGGAAAGGACCTGAGTCATGTAGATAGTCAGATGGAAGTTGACCTGAAATGCAGTTTTCTTTCTTTCTTTCTTCCTTTTTTTTTTTTCTTGACAGGGTCTCTCTCTACCAAGACAGTCAGATGGAAGTTGACCTGAAATGCAGTTTTCTTTCTTTCTTTCTTTCTTTCTTTCTTTTCTTTCTTTCTTTCTTTTTTTTCTTCTTTCTTGACAGGGTGTCTCTCTGGCTGTCCTGGTAGGTACTCACTTAGACTAGGCTGGCCGGTTCAAGTGCTACCATGCCCCGCTTCTGAAATGCAGTTTTGAGATTAAAATACTAAGTGATAACTTGAGGTATTATCTTCAATCCAGTCCTGTAAATACAATAAGATGGGCAGCCTCTAGGGGAAGACATCTTGAATAGATATGGAAAAGTAGAAAATTTGGATTTAGACTTTTATTTTTGTAATCTCAGCGGCATTGTGGCCAAAGTGACACACCCTTTGAACTGAGGAGGCAAGTTAGAGCCAAAGAAACTACTCTGGGAAACTAGTTTATCTAAAGTAATGGTTAAAGATGTAACATAGCTGAGTGGTGTGATGCATGCCTCTGATTTCAGTCAGGAGGCAGGGACGGGAGGATCACTGCAAGTTCAAGGTCAGCTTGGTTTACATAGCCAGGCAGGGCTATATATAGCAAGACCCTTTATTAAAATAATAAAAACTCAACAAAATAGTCTGTGAGGGTAAGATGTTTTCAGTGTCAGTGCTTTTTTGTTTGATTTTTGCTGTCTCATCTCAGCTCCTAGAAAAGTGTGATGCTTTGTAGATACCCATTTATGATTACTTAATTGATTATTATTGAAATAATCTTGCTATGCTACTCAGACTGGTCTGGAGTCTCCTGGCAATTGCTGAGATACAGGCATGAAGCACTATGCCTGGCTTTTATTTGTTAAAGATACAGTTTTTTCACCCCTTGATTTGCTTTTTCCATTGTTTGATCTCTATTTTGGTTAATACTCAATGTTTCTCAAAGGTTGGAAGAAAAGTGTTTTGGGGTTTTGTTTGTTTCACTATATAGCCCTGGCCTG